GTTCATTTAGATGCATTCAAACTCAAACGCATCACAAAACACTGAAAGCATGAACAAGTTTTACTTTTAGAGCAAGTTGTATTTCAAAGAGTATTAATCATTCTGAAAAGCCATGTGCTTGAAAATGGTGCTATGGGCCAAATTCAGTTACTTTGCCGTTGAAAATTATAACTCAAAAACGGTGTGTGTTGGGGACCGAAGCATCAATATAAATACCTTTAAATGGAGGTGTACATTCACGTCCACATTTAGTGCGGCAGCATTTTTGATCTTTCGGACAGTCAATGTCATTGACACACAACCCTTTACACAATCCTACTCCAGGGAATCTCTTTGGACACACTCCTGGCTTTACTGTTATACAAACACAACAGAGAAACCAGATCACTGAATGACTCAATCACTGTGTTAAGGGAAAAAAAAGCTGACCAATGAATTAGTATAACATACCTTTAGATACAGCCGTACACTGATGTCCACATCCATTGCTGCAGCATTTCTCATCATTTGGACAGTTACTGTCTTGGGAACACAACTCAACACACGCTCCTATGTTACTGCTTGGACACACTCCTGGCTTTTCTGTTATACAACACATGATCGAGAAAACAGATCACTGAACCCTCACTGCATTTTAAAATGTTAAGAACTAATTGAATTCACATTAATATAACAATATAAATACCTTTATATGGAGGCATACACTGATGTCCACATCCATTGCTGCAGCATTTCTCATCTTTTGGACAGTTACCGTCTTGGGAACACAACTCAACACACGCTCCTATGTTACTGATTGGACACACTCCTGGCTTTTCTGTTATACAAACACATGATAGAAAAAGCAGATCACTGAATGCCTCACTACCATGGCCAGACTTTCCATTGGGCTTAAACGGGCTGGGGCCCCGCCTTAACCCGTTTACATTTGTTCAGTTATGTGCCAGTCAGAAATTATCAGCCGCATTTCAACCGCGCACACGGGTCAGTCGGGGCTAACAGCTTCCAACTACGAACCCATAATCAAACAGCATAAACTGGAATTTATGTTTTTCACAGAAAAAAAAAAAAAAACACACACACCTGCGCTGCGCCGAATCGCTGATTAATTTGTGATCACATGGCTACTTTAAACAGTTCAATTAAGCCTTTAGCCCGAAAGAGCGCACATTTACAAAGATAATGATACATTCTCACATGTTCACGCCTCAATTCGTAACAGCGGATTATATTAATGTTCCACTAAATTAATCTGAAGAGTTGAGCTCTCTCTCCAGTCCAAAGACTATAGAATACCCGAATATCTTACAGGGACTTTGTCCTGTCTCACTACCTCCACACAAAGTGGAGCAGAAATTATCAAAACTATTTAAAAAAATAAAAATAGCCCTTTACAGGGTTCGTGCGGTCATGAAAACTCCAGAAAGCTTTGGAAAAGTCGTGGAAATGTCTTTTACAAATCTATATAATAGAATGTTTAATAACGTCCTGAATCTCGGTGCGGGATTGCGCGTTTTGGTTTTACTCATTCCCGCAGGTTTCGCACGTTTGGAAAATTCCCCCAAACATGTATTTAATATACAATTTAGGTTAGAGGGGTTTAAAAAAACAAAAAAAAAAACAAAAAAAAACAGAATATAAGATCAAGTCAATCATTTGAAAACAGCGTGTGTGGTTCAGCTGTACCGCGTCTTTTCGCTCAACTTTTTCAGGTAGGCTAGCCTAAAACTAACAGTAGCTTCTACTGTTCAGGAACAAAATATTATGATGTATAAAAGTCATAAATATAGATTATATTTATATATTATTCCATATTAAATTTGAAAAAATTTAGTCAAGAGCAGATTTGAGCAGAGTGATTTTTTTTCTTTTGTTCTTTAACACAGACAGCAGGTATAAAAGCTGCAATGACTTTCATACCAAATATTAATGTTAACGGTGTTAATTAATTGTTGGTTTTTGTTAATGTTAACAACAAAATACAAAATCACTCACTGCTCTTGACTGAATAATTTGTAACTTTTAATTTTAAGAATTAATCTGTTTAATTTACAGAAAACTCAGGTCCTGAGTTTAATTTATAATACTGGCTAAGCAAATTACAATATACTTAACATTCAGTTATGTGATTATGTAGCCTAACTTATGTTCTCTGCATGAAGTAACGTCTGGCGCAGTCGCAGCCTGTGCTTATTAGAAAGCAAACAAATAGCACTAATAATCATTCATTTTCCAAACATTTGTGTAAAAATGGCACATTAGGTCATGAATATTGCCTTAAGTCATCGAAATGTATTGGTTGAACGAACCCTGCATTTAATGAGTGAATGCCTACGATATAGGAGTTAGCCTGTCACACAAACTAGAGTCCTGTTTTTCCGAATATCTGCACTATCGCAAATGTACAATAAACAACAAGTTACTGAATAACTTTCAGACACACAATTCTGTTTTGCCCCATCAATGCATCTCCGAGCAACACAGTGTTTTGTTTCTCAGCATTACACAGAGCAGTAAATGGTTCAAACAGACTACAAGTACAGTCGTTTGCCAAGTTAAATGAATGAGCATTTTAAACGAATCGGTTGATTTAAGGATTCAACTCACTCATTAAGACAGTCACTTGCTGCCACCTACTGGCGGTTGTAGTTTCATATTTTAAAAAGTAGCTCATCATTTCATTTTTGCAATTATGTAATATTTCTACATTAAAACATTGTATTTAAACTTAACTTATGCACAATCCATATATGGATTTTGTTTATAGTGATTTAATTTGATTAATAAATAGTTTAAATTACGCTGAAGGAGGAATATCTGCAAGATATTTTTTTAGAGTGTTTCCAATCAAATGTCAAATAGATGCTTAGAAAATGTCTTTAAGCTCTTTCTGATTTAGAATGCATGTAAAACGGATGTCTGAAAGATTTCTATCAGATGTTTGTACACAGCAGATGCTTTCCAGATAAAGCGATCTTTAACAGACATCTT